AAAATTTTGTTATTGTTTTGTTGTTGTTTTTTGTAATTAAAGAAAACATTTTTGATGGCGGGCATGATAATGGAACATCGGAATCCGAAAATTCCAAATGTAAGGATTATTGACTTCGCTCTAAAATTACCAAAATGGTGGACCTTTGAAAAAACATTTTTGGAAAATCGCCGATTTTTTACCAAAAACCAAGTTAACAAATAAGGAAGATCTTCACCGATTGGCTTTATCCTAGTTCATACGAGAGCTATACACTCCCAGAGAAACGTTGCAAAATTTGGAACCGATTGGATTATTAGTTTTTGAGTTATCGTGCCTGCCATTCGCAAAAAAATGTTTAGAGAAAAACGCGTTTAAAGTTTGAGAAGCCCTTCAGCCGTCACTTGATGCGGACACAATAAATCGGATATATCTTCAAGAGAGATTTTCACTTGAAATTTTGTAGAGACATTCCTTAATCAGTGTAGATTCGAATTATGTCAACAAAAATTTTGACCCCGAGAATGGGGGGGTCCCCTTAATTATAACCCAACCATTTCCGAAAGTGCACAAGAAAAATACCATTTAAATGTAAATCCATCCGTGAATCATAGAAATCCAGAAGAAAGTGGCGCCCAACCTTTAATTGGAACTGAAGGTGAAAACCTTCGCAACTTTGACCAAACATTTTCCAAAGTACTGAAGAAGATCGACTTAATATAATCCCTACCTTAGATTCCAAATATGCAGAAGAGAGTCAAGTAACAGGAGGTATTGGCGCTCAACAGTTAGAGTGTTATACTGGTTCTAGAAATTGTGAAGAATGTTTAAGGTTTTGGAATAAACTCAGAGGAAGCTTTGGAAAGCTTTCCAAATTAAGAAGAAAATGGGTCCTAAGATTTAATTGGAATGGTCAGATGCAAATCTCAGCAACTCTTTATTTAAAAGAGTTATTTTTTGGGTTTTTATTGAGAACTGAAAAATGGGTAATTAAAAAAAATAATTTTGAACTGCCTTACGAATTAGAAGAATATTATTGTGTAAAAGGGAAAAATAATTTTTAAAAATAAATAAAAATATTTGGCAGCAGTTTAGTAATTCCAGTGGATTTTTTTTGTTCACAGTATAAGCCTTTACTTTTAGTTTTGTCATAAATATTTGTAATATTTTCGTATTTATTTATGTTAAGGTAAATATATAATAATATATTAATAAATATGTATTTCATTTAATATATTTGATTTAATATTGTTTATGTTTGTATTTGTAAGAATAATTTATAACACGTATTAAATACTTTCAACAACATTTAGTTTAATTATTTATTAAATTTTGTGTATTCGGTTTAGCAATAATTATTTTTAGGTATAAAAAACTTGGTTTTTGGTCATATATTTTATTTTGTTTTTTTTACGATTAATATTTTTTGTAATATGTTATGTAATATTTGCTTTCAATAGAAATTGTATAGAGATTTGTGAATACAACAGAGGGGAAGATAACTATAGTTACATAGAGAGAGAGAGAGTGAGAGACATAGATTTTAATTAACAAAATATGAATATATGAGATGAGGAGTTGTATTAAATAACGGCTGAGAAGAATTCTCTAATATCGCTTTTTGTAAGTGTTAATATATTTCGTTTCTTTTTTGTTTTATAAAAATTTATTAAATATTTATGTATTTTATACAGAAATATTTAAATGTGGTCATAATATATTGCATTGTTGTAATAATACGAATTGGAAATTAATAACTTAATTTGTTGTACTTTAATCAATTTTGTATGTATGTAGTTACAGAGAGAGGGAGAGGGTGTAGTCTTTCATAGATAATACTGGTAGAGAGGTATGGAGAGGGAGAACATGAATTGTTGTACTCATCAATAGATAAGTTTAGTTGGTGGTTAAATATTAAAAAAATAATATAATAAAATATTAAATGCATTTAATAATATTCAATTTAAATACCTTGAGTAATAAATGCTGTATATATTTAATTATAAATAATATTGTATATAATAATACATAATATAGAGGGAGTTTGGCAGTAATAAATATATTAAAGAGGCAGTAAGTTTTTAAGGGAAGATATTGAATGCGTGCTGAAAATTATGTATTTAAAGGAGATCCGTGAAAAGGAGAATGTTGTTAATAAGGAAATTACTAGAGATTTTACTTTCAGAGGAGAAATTTAAAGCCCTCAGTGATACCATATAACCATTGAATTTGAAAGCAAGGTTTCCAGAACATCAAAGTAAATTGGCGCCCAATAATTGAAACTGTATATCAATAACTCATCAATTATTCCACAAAACAAATATCCAATATGATAATGAATAATAGAAACATATTCCTTAAAAATGATTCGGAAAATGTTATTGACTCACACCATTTACTTCGAACTGCAGATGAAAACAGTCACAATTCTCCCCCAATCATTGCCGAAAGTGCAGAAGAAGAATTAATCATTAAAATAAAATTCCATCCGTGGATCATAGAAGTTATGGTAATATATCCTGTAGAACCAATAGAAAGATGTAGATATTGTAATTTTATCTGTGGATCATAGAAACCCAGAAGAATGTGTTGTAATATATCCTGAAGTGGCGCCCAACATTTAATCACAAACAAAGCAACAAAACTTTTATTAGTATTAGAAGACCTCAGCAACAATCGCCAAGACCCAAGACACGTAGAGAGAAAAGTCATACAGTACACCTCAAGGTAACAACAAATGATTCCAGAAAATCGGTAAAAAGTGACGCCCACGATTGAATTCGAACTGAAGACTAAAAAACCTTTATCGACTCTCTGCCAACCATTTTCCAAAGTACTGAAGAAGCTCGACCAAGCTCGAAGACTTTTCAAATTCAGTGCAGAGGAAGATGACCGTTAATATGTAATATCACCTGTGTATCCTAGAAAGTGTGGTAATATACCCTGAAGAACCAGTAGAAAGCTCTAGAAAATAAGAAGAAAATTATATCGAAAATATTTATTGGCCAAACATTTCTGAAAGTGCTGAAGAAGATGACCATCAAAATGTAATTCCCACAGTAGATCATAGAAAACCAAAAGAATTACCATTAAACCAACATTTAATTGGAACTGTAAAACAAACACTCAATTGTTCCGTATATAGAAACCAATCAGAATAAAGTGTAGTCATACATTCAATTGGAACTGCAAACGAAGACCTTAGCTATAATCACAACCCCAATGAATCTTTCATGTGGAGAAGAAAGTCTTACAATACACGCCAATGTAGCAACAAGTGAATCCAGAAAATCATTAAAAAAAGTGGCGCCCAATATTTAATTGGAGCTGAAGACGAAAACCTTAGTAACTATCTGCTAAACAGTTTTCAAAGAGGCTGAAGGAATAGATAATCCGCGACCTTGATTTTAAATATGCAAAATAAAGTCTACAAAAATATGATGTACTGGCGCACAAAAATACTGATTCTACAAATGCTTAAGTAGAATGTTTTGCAATTCAAAAGCATGTGGCTCCCAACATTTAATTGGAATGGTCAGATGCAAATCTCTGCAACTCTATCTCCTACACATTTCCTAATGCGAATGCAAAAGATAGTTTAGAAACAAATTCAAATCCAAAAATTGTCAACCAAACTGCAGAAGACGGAGCCCGACTCAAGCGATATCTATGAATCAACACCAATTATATATAAAATAAATAAAAAAATCACCGATCATATTAATTGTCAAGGCTTATAAACAGACGTAAAGATATATTATTAACATGCAATCGTAATAAATGTTGGGCGCCATTTACATAAAACGATCACATATATGGAAATTTTATTTACATCTGAACCGATTCAAAGCAATCATCACAAATTACATTATAGACTCGATTCAGTATGCTATGTCAATAATTCGTGTCAATCGGACAAATATATATGGGAACTATATATAAATCTGAATTGATCTTCATTTCTTTTTTTTCCAATATAAAAACTTGCTCACGTCTGAGAATCTTACTTATTTATAGGGATTTGAACAATAGTTCCTTAGCCTACAAAGCCACCTCCTTATATACCTAAGGTTGCACAATATGCAGTTGTATACCATTGAAGAAAAAATATTGTAGTCTGTATGGAAAAAAGTCCGTCACTACAAGAAAAATCTGCTCTGAAAAGGGAATGTTCTGGTGTGATGCCAAATGCCCGAACCTTGACACGGTTGAATTTAATTCGTAGATGCAATTTCGCAACAATATTCGACATAAATACAACATATCAAGTAACGACATTTGTAAGCCACATTGCCCAATATGCCTGATGAGCGGCTTAACCAACGGCGAAACGTGTCGCAAAATGATGCCTTTCATTTTATTTACTATTTGATCTCTATCTCATCTCGAAAGAGAAATTAATAAGAAAATATTACTTTTTTCCAAAATACTTGTCGGTTTCACGATATCGATTAATAAAAATTTGCTATCGTCTGAAAATCTGGCGGTTTCTATATAAATACCCTCGTTTTTTAATTCAGACCTGGGCTTTTTCACCGGTCTCCTTATATTTGCTTATCGCTCTCTGCATGGGGTAGTACGAGTATGTTTTACGGCATTCTTTCATTGTTAAACGTTCTCCTCTATTTATAGCACAATTGGACATTTTAGAAGAGGGGAAATATTTGTAGAAATAGAATAGATCGTAAGATATATATAAAAATTTCGCTTTTTTATATTACTTAATAATGGCACAATACCCTAGTAATATGAACTAATATATGTATAAGTTAATAATAATTATCAATATGAAATATATATGTAAGTATATGTATTTGTTTTGTAATAATATTGTCAACAAAACAGGATTTTAATTTATAAAATCCTTGTGTAATCAATTCCATTTTGGTTTTTCTTCTTTTCAATATAAAAAAGAAACAAGAAAATGTACACAACAAACTCTACAAAGAAGCAAAGCAAAAAATCATTCATTTTGTTTCCCTCGTAATTAAAGACTGTACCCGATTTCCTTATAATTTTCCTTAGAATACACTATTCCTTTTGGCACATTGTATATTTGTGAGATGTTGTGCTGCAACACCAACATTGCCACTCTCCTCCAATACTGATTTATTCATTGTGGAACTACCGCCTCCTCCACGCCTTAAAACATGCCACATGGCTACCGGTTTCCTCAGAGATGAAAGCATTTGATGCCAATGCCGTAAACCCTTGCCATTCGAACAGGCACTGCCGGCAAATACATGACCCAGGGGTGTTACCGTTGTGGCATCATCCTGCGTTGTCCCGTAGACAGTCAGACGTATCTGCGCTGTGGTTAGACTCTGTGGCGGCAAACTGAATATCACAAATTCATTGAAAACGGGACAGCGATCTTTGCGTTTCAACGAAGTACGTTTCTTGAGAACCTTTTTGTCGTTGTTCATTAAATAGACCTGTCAAATGGGCGAACACAACCACACACACACACGCGTACATTGTGAATTAGTACTTTGAAGCAGTGGCAGACAAATAAGCGTATAATTACCTTAACGAAAATGTTTTGTATGTCATGCATAATATCCGGATTTCTTTTGCTAGGCACTCTCAATTGTAGATTACGGGCTTTGACCACCACAATGGTAATACGTTCCGCTGTCGGCAAATAACTGAGGGAAAACATTAGTTCACCCCATTGAGCGTTGACTTTGCGGGAATCGGTCAATGGTATCCATGTTGTTATGGGTTTGGGTATTTCACCAATTTCCATTTCGGCTTCGCCTATTTAAACGATTTTCTATTATTATTAATAATTTCCGGGAATTCTTGACATCCTTACCGATTAATGTGTGGGCATCACCATTGTGAAACAAATGGAACCATAACGAATGTCGGGCATAATGTTTACTCAGCCAGAAGTGTAAAGCTTCATTATAGCTCGGAGTTGAGGAATCTTCCACAACCTGTTGGGATAATTGTTAAAATTATTAAACAATGGAGAATAACATATCAAAGCATGGGCTTTCAAATTGGAAAAACTGCGCACAATATCGACGCGGCTGGAAATCGTTTCTAAGTTCTGCTTATGCAATGTCTTACCTTTGTTTGCAACGATCCCGTTTGATCGGGTACCAAATAAACCCTTACGAATGTATCAATCGTATCCACCTTAAATGGTAAAATTAAATCCTTGGCTTCCAGAATATTAACTTGTAAATCAACTCCCTGGGGTGTTATGGAATTTCTGAAAACAAAAAAAAAAAAACACATATCAGACTACTTTTCAGATTCCCAAAATGCAGCTAATACTCACTTATCATAATTTAACCCCACACATAGATAACCCGTAATTTGTGTATAGGTAGACTGATCAAAATCATTACTATAGCCCAACGATTCATAATCGGAATCCACGGATTCGCAAGAAATGGCACGCTCCAATTTACCACCATCAACCAGGGAGGTCATGCTACCCGAATTCAAGGAGGTCTGTGAGCTATTGCGACGCCACAAACCAAATGGTGTGTCTTCCTGCATTAGGAAGCGGCTAAAATTCCATGTTGATGATGAGTTGCCATCATTACCATTCAACTGATGGCCATTGAGGCCATTGTGTTGGGTCCCTGCACCACTGCCGCCGCCACCGCTACCTCCACCACCACTTCCCCCAAAACCACTATAACCAAATTTACGAAATAGAAAATCTTCCGATATGGTCTTCTGCAACATGTGTGGCCCTTTAATTTTTCGCGCCACATGGGCAAAGGGATTACCGGGATTTGGCAGCGATTGTGTGGGATTTTGAAAAACATTGGCCAGATTTTTTAGCGAAATCATTGGCGATTCATCTTTGGTCGGCACTTCTGTCTGCGAAAAAGAGCGACTACGAAATGTAAATGCTGCCGCAGAGGGTGGTGGTGGTACCTCGTTGTGGGATGCCAAACTTGGTTTGCGATACGAAGAGATCGTGTGGTATTTCGTTTCTTCGATGAAAGGATTAACAGGAATCGTTGTTGCGGTTGTTGTTGTTGTTGGTTTTATTTCAGGTATGTCATTGGTCATTGTTGTTTCTGTTGTTGTTCTTTGATTGAGATTTAAGGCAGTGTTGCAATTTGTTTTTGTTATATTTTCTAGAAAAGGATTTGTATTGTTGTTGTTGTTATTATTACTATTAACAGTGGTAAAGATGTTGGTATTAGCCCTCTGCAAGGGGGGCTTGTCCTGACGCATAACAACAGAACTATTAAAGCTATAAGGATTGTCTTCTAAGGAAAAACCATTTTGTTGAGGTGATTTTTTAACTACAGGTCGTGGTATAGCCGTGTTGGGAATGGTGCCATTGCCGGCGTGGCCATTGCCACCTATGTTAGTATTAACATGATTCGTTGTGGTTGATGAAGTGGCTGCCTTGGGTTTGGGTGGTGCCTCCAGTGGTGGTATTTCCATGGGGCTTGCACGTTTCAATGAAGAGTGACCATTCGTTGAGCGGAAAATATTTATGGGCTCTGGATTGGTGGCTGGACATTCGTTTGTCAATTGCAGCGAAAATGTCACAATTTTTGTTTGATTGCTGACAGCAGGCGGTGTTGAGGCTGCAGCCGGTGGACCCGGGGCTGGAGCTGGTCGTAACGGTTGTGGTGGTATCTCCAAATCATTTTGCGCTAAATTCCACAGTGGTGTTGTGGCATGTTTGGGTGAATTCTGATGCTGTGTATTCTTGAGGGAATCCTTGTCCACCGTATCGAAACGTTTAAAGCTGCCGCTGGAGCTAAGCAGCAATTCGGAACCGGAATGGATCTGAAAGGAGTAAAGGGAGAGTAATTTTTTTAATACTTTTTGTTTAATATAAGAATAGGTTTTTAGGTAACTTCTGACCAAAAAGCGTGGATTTTGTAAAGAATATTTTTTTCAAGGATCTTCAGATAAATAAGCGTTGATTTTTTAAAGAATATTTTTTCAAGGACCTTCAGGTCAATAAGCGTGAATTTTTTTAAAGAATATTTTTTCAAGGATCTTCAGATAAATAAGCGTGGATTCTTTAAAGAAAATTTTTTAAGGACCTTCAGATAAATAAGCGTGGATTTTTGTAAAGAACAGTGACGTATCGTATAAAGATCCCGACCTTTTTAAAAAATTTTGAGTGCACATCACATGGATGGAGGCTGCGGAAAAATTAGCCCGTTTTGTTTTACTTACCATATATCCATTTGGTTTAAACAGCTTATGGGCTGATAAACCAATTTTCTCCTCCTTGTATGAACGTGACCATACCGCCTGACGATGACCAAGATAACGATACAACAACAAGCCCAATATGACCAAGCATAACGCTATCAATATGGAACTGGTTAGGGTCAGTGATGATGATTCATCCATTTTTTTATTTAGTTTGAAATTCTGTTGTTGTTGTTTTCTTCCTTTTCTTCTTAACAAAATCTGTCACGCATTTCACACCAAACGTAAGCCATCAACATGCTCCTCCTCTTCTGTAAGAAAAAAAAACAAAATCAACGAACACAATAATTGAAAACGATTTCCGTCAATAGAGTGGAGAAAAAAAACTTCCGATGAATAGAATAGACTTTGAGACTACAACATCGTCCATTCAAATATTCGTTGATGTTTGTGAACAGATTTTGAAATCAATTCAGAAATGTATTATTCCACACTGTCCGTTGTGTCTCTTTGACACGGGCTAAAGTTTCATTTAAATTAAATTATCAATGTAATTTTTTTTGCTGTAGTTGTTGTTTCCTTGATGTTGATGCGACAGCTTAAAATTCTAGTGCCTGTCCATTCATAGATGATAACCATGCACTCATCCGCCTATCCATCCATCTGTACGTATGGGTTATATATATTCTTTTATTATTATTGGTTGTTGGCCCATTGCAAAGAATTGTATCAATTTGCCTTCAATTTGTTTGTTTCTTTTAAATCTTGAAGAGACTCTTTGGTCGCATATGGGGTGCTTTCATGTCGTATCAGATTACAAAAGTAGTTTGAATGAAAATATTAAACAGAAAAAATTCCATAAACATTTTTTTATGCCACGGGTCAAAGACTATGCATGGGCTCCGGCCCCCACTATGGAATGGGGTAATAGGAAGAAAATATCACTTTTGAGAGGCTTGACAGGTACGTAATGAATTTGAAATGTGATCCATAAAAGAGTGAATGGGGAATGTCACCAAGTACCATCTAGAACAATATAATGAATAATTTTTCAAACTTAGTAAATCTCCAAATTATTATTTGCATTTATTAAATACTAGTCGCTTTCCCTAAAGGGTATTTATTTATTCAATGCAAAAACACACTCAAACAAATTTTTGTCAGCCTTTATTTATGTATGTTTGTTGATTGGGCTGACTCCTTTAGTTTGTTTCGCATTGCTCTTTTTTTTGGTCGTTTATTTTACTCACATCAATGTTTACTCAGAGCTGGAAGTGCAGTAGTTTATCAAAGGCTATAACACAAACAAACCCTACAAACCCAGAGAGACAGTGCAAAATAATGAAAGAGCGCCCTGAGTGCAGCCTGTGTAATTACACGTGTGAATAACAGCAACAACAACATCAAACAAAAACAGGCAAAGTAAAAGGTGTTAACTCAGGGTCGTAATGAGCAGCAAACACAGACACACTTTTATTAATTATTCTCAGTGCATAAAACACCATTTCTTTCTCGGGACTTCTGATTCCGGAGTTTAAATTAAAAGCAAATAGGTAAATTGATAGATACTATAGAACAATTTAGCACAGATGTTTGGTCTTGAAAATGGTCTCGGTTCAAATTTTAGTGTAGCTCCCTGGTGAAAAGGTACCCACGAAGTTTTCGGTATTTTAACAAAATTATTCACGCTTCCCACAGATATTTAATTTGATATTTTGGATTCGGTGGTACCCACACATTTTCCTACAAAAATTTGTCAATATCTGTCTACGTTTGGAGATAGCGCCTACATAATGAAATGTGCCAATTTTCGGCCCTTTAAATAAAGGTCTCGTTCTTTTTTCGAATATTCCATAAGCCGAGCTTTAAAATGATTTCCAGGCGCGACTTGTGCTCAGTACTTCCAATTTGAAAGACCATATTCCGAAATGTTCTCTTCCACGTTATCTTTACATCTAATTCGTGGCCTTTCCCTTCTGCGCTTTTATATGCCTTTTGAGCTGTGGCATCCTCATCCATTCTCACAACATGACCTAGCCACCGTAGTCGCTGCAGCTCGATACGTCTGACAATGCCGATGTCCGAGAATAGATGGTACAACCCATGGTTCATTAGACGGCGATTTTTATCGTTAACGCAGATCGGCCCATAGATCTTTCGGAGAATTTTTCTCTCAAACACTTCAAGCGCTGCCTCATCTGTATGCGCAAGTACCAATGGTTCAGATCCATATAACAGAGTATGAGTTTGGTCTGGCGGGAGGTGGCCTTGTTTCTAAACTACTTACTTAGACCATAGTAGCATCTGTTGGCCTTCCATCTCAAAACTCCTGTCATTAGTTTTATATAAAAGGTATATAAAATCTTTGACTACCTCGAAACTGTAGTCCAATTTGCGCGTAGATATCATCACCTTTGTCTTCTCGTCATTTATTGCCAGACCCACTTTGACAGATTCCTCCTCAATTTGTTCAAAGGTGGCTATTGCCCCTCGCAAATTTTTAGTCGATTCTGCATTAGTCAGTTATGTTAAAAATATCACAAGACAGACTCTCACCTTGTCTGAATCCTCGCTCGATATTGAATATGCAGTTTCTAGGCGCTCATAAAAAATGTCTTTGGTCTGTTCATCTTTGTCTTCTGTCGGAGCATGGGCGCAAATAAGACTGATGTACAAGAACTTCCCTTTTATATGGATTATAGCAATTTGCTCAGCTACTGGTGAGAATCTGGAGACGAGATCTCTTATTCTCCTGTTAACCATAAATACGCAGCCAAATTCATGTCTCGTTTCATGACAGCTATAATACAGGGCGTAATCATCTGATTTACTTACGCCAGTCCCTTTCCATTGCATTTCCTGTAAGACAATAATATCGGCTTTGTACTTCTTGAGTACATCCGCCAAAGGCAAAAACTGTACAACTTGCGCACGTTCCAAATGCAGATCCTGGTCCTTTATACGTTTGCGGGGGTCGTCAACATTGGGGATTTGGTTTTCGGTTCCGTTGCTTTTTCATAGTAGGAGGGGGTTTCCGAGTGTGGGCAACTAACCCGACGCCTCAGCCCATTTTTTATAGTTCTTATGGGTGAACTCGCGTCACATATCAACTCATTATTTCAACGGGTGATGAAAATATTTACCCCAGGTTAAATAAAACCTGTCAAAAATTCGATATACCACGTTTTGGAGTAGTCAACATATAGCGGTACCGCTCCATTTCGATGCCAATCAAATTGACATTTTGGGGTTTTAATTTTAGGCATTTGATTGCCAAATACCAATAGTACCAGAGGTGAACAGTGGCTCATTTCTTCCCTTTTTATAAAAAGTTTAACATTTGCGACCGAACAAACTTTACACCCTTTCGATATTAGTATATTCAAATAAACTCTCCACTCCTTTTGTATCGCTGATGAATGATGTGTTGAAAACTTCACAGAAATTGTGACAACAATTTTATTGAGGTTACTCGTTCTATGCTGTATCCTTGCCAGCGTCACTTTTATGTTGCAGGAACAACACAAATCTGGAGGATAATAATTTCAATTGACAATATGTATGTTTGCTGGATTTTGAATCAGTGCCAGAGTTTGAGCCAACTCAATCCACTCAACAACGCATTTCTTCGGTACATTTGATGATGTCATTGTGCGGGTAGTGGGTCAAAGTGCGTTGCCAATTTATTTGGCACCAAACAATTGTCGCGCCAATATTCCGATGCAACAACAAAAACACAACGGAAAGTAACAATGGAACCCCAGAAATGGTGTGGAAAAAGAAATGTTTGCAACAATTACTTTTGTAGGAGATGGTGAGAGAGAGAGGCACGGTACAACAATTGTTGAGCCTGATTTTGCATGCATCGTCCACCGCAGCCGTCATTAGCAACAACTGCGGTGACTGGCTGTGGCGGCAATGGCTGTTCAACACACTAATAAAATATGGGGCCTATAAAAACAAACATTTGCAAGCAACAACCAAAAACAAAATGCACACACACGGAGATACACTCAGGAAAAATGAGATGAGAAAGTAAAACAAAACAAAGCAAACACAAAAAAGGGCAACAACAACAACGACAAAAAGTCGTTCTTTCACTTTTGCATGAGCCCCATAAGTGGAACATTGACTGTTATTAGAACTTTGACACAGTTTGAGGTTTTCCAAACCACACAGTCAGTATATACCACAATTTGATTCCAAAACCAAAGTGAGTGAATGAGTGCATCAGTGCCGATGGAAAGGCACATATGCATTCAACCGCCACCTAACCACCCACCCATCCACCAACCATCCATACAGTTTCAAAACAATTGACAGCCATCATCAACAGAATGTGCATTAACCATGTCTCGAGCTCCGATACTTACATACCTAGATGTGTAAACTACAAATTTACATGTTCATTTGTGGGTAGTGGTGGGCAGTCGATATATAAATGGGTGTATATATGTTGTTTTTTTGCAATGATTTTGAACACAATAGATGAGGAACATTTTAACTAACTTGTTTATTTCTTTTTTCTTGTTTCTTTGAGACGACTTGCATCCTCTTAACCAACAAGGAAAAAACACACACACAGGGAAAAGAACAAGGAAGGACTACAAAAATCCAGGTCAATTTGTTTAATCACTTTTTTGCCATCACCACAAGGGCTTACACACGTACGCACATACACACACACTAGAGGCCCGTTATACTTATCCACTCAACAAAATAAAACATTCAATTGTTGACTTTTGCAAAACAACAAAAAGAAAAGTCCTTAGACATTGTGATTATCATTTTCTTTTTTTCAACTATTGTTGTTGTTTTTCTGTGTTTTTTCTACACTCTTTTCACCATTATTAGCAGCTCTTTAATATCACAAAAAATAAAAAAACCAAAGAATGAAAACAATAGCTTAATTTATTTTGCTACAGCAACCATTAACTGAAATCACGTCCGTTAACACCGTTTATACGTGCATTCCATTGACAAGTCCGTTATCTACTGTCGTCGTTGTGTCTTCTCCTGTCACACGAACCACCAACAGCAGCAGGAAGTTCTTATTTACAACATGTAAACTTTTGCACAGATTTCATGACGTTTCATGCTCAGCTATTTAGTTTGCTGCTCATCATCATTGTTGTGTTCGTAGAAGAAGAAGAGAAGACGAAGGACGTTGTTGCGGTAGTTGTGTGGTTGAACGAACGTTG